CTCCTCGTAGCTCATACCTCTCAGCTCGGGTACTAGTCTGGTGGCAAACCTTTGAACCTTTAGATTCAAATGAACCCTATCATCAAAGGTTTAGATGAACCTTTAGGTAGGTATGTGTAATTACCTAAGTGTAATTACCTAAGTGTAGTTACAGGATGAGAGCTACGCTCGTGGTGTCCCGTCTTCCCAGCACTCTTTGTCATATAACGCTTTGAAACTACTGACGGTCTTGGCCTCCACCACCTTCTCACTTAACTTGTTCCAACCGTCTACCACTCTGTTTGCGAAGGTGAATTTTCTTATATTTCTTCGGCATCTGTGTTTAGCTAGTTTAAATCTATGACCTCTTGTTCTTGAAGTTCCAGGTCTCAGGAAATCTTCCCTGTCGATTTTATCAATTCCTGTTGCTATTTTGTATGTAGTGATCATATCACCTCTTTTTCTTCTGTCTTCTAGTTTTGGCATGTTTAATGCTTCCAACCTCTCCTCGTAGCTCTTGCCCTTCAGTTCTGGGAGCCACTTCGTAGCATGTCTTTGCACCTTTTCCAGTTTGTTGATGTGCTTCTTAAGATATGGGCACCACACAACAGCTGCATATTCTAGCTTTGGCCTAACAAAAGTCATGTGTGTGTGTGTATTATATATACATATTATATATATACATTATATATATATATATATATATATATATATATATATATATATATATATATATATATATATATATATATATATATATATATATATAAAATCACAAACTCTGAAACATAGTGGATGGAGGCAGCATCCATCTCTCTCTCTCTCTCTCTCTCCATCTCTCTCTCTCCATCTCTCTCTCTCTCATCTCTCTCTCTCCATCTCTCTCTCTCTCTCTCTCTCTCTCTCTCTCTCTCTCTCTCTCTCTCTCTCTCTCTCTCTCTCTCTCTCTCTCTCTCCATCTCTCTCTCTCTCTCCATCTCTCTCTCTCTCTCCATCTCTCTCTCTCTCTCCATCTCTCTCTCTCTCCATCTCTCTCTCTCTCTCTCTCTCTCTCTCTCTCTCTCTCTCTCTCTCTCTCTCTCTGTCCTTTTCTCTTCCTTAGACCCCCTTCCTCCTTTCCTCTCCTAGCTGCTTCTTTCATGCTGTTCTCCTTTGCTTGTATTTTCAAGCTCCTACCTCTCTTCTATTCTCTCCCATTTCCTTTCAATACACTCCCCATTTTCATAGCATAAAATTCTGTTAAGAGTGGGGCCACAATGGGTAGGGTAAGAATGGGTGGCAAAAGGAACGGGTATGGGTGGGGGCAGGAATGGGTGGGTGTAAATATATGTTCATGTTTGGGTTTGGTCAAAGGGTTGTATTGGTTGAGACAGAGTAATTGCCCCTATTGTGCTAGCTGGGGTTTGGCTTTAGCTTCTTGGTCTTGCCTATCAGCCCTCAATCAACTGTTGAACAGGTTCCCGAGTCAACTGAGCTCTTATATTCACTGTGTATCGAGTCCGATTCTTCCACCACTACTTTATAGTGAATTCAATTTTTTCATTACTACAACACTGAATGCAATTATTTTTAATGCATCCGACTCATTTAGGGCATACATATCTTCTTGAGGTTATCTTGAGATGATTTTGGGGCTTTAGTGTCCCCGCAGCCCGATCCTTGACGAGGCCTCCACCCCCAGGAAGCAGCCCGTGACAGCTGACTAACTCCCAGGTACCTATTTACTGCTAGGTAACAGAGGCATCAGGGTGAAAGAAACTCTGCCCATCGTTTCTCGCCGGCGCCTGGGATCAAACCCGGGACTACAGGATTACGCGTCCAGTGTTCTGCCCTCTCAGCCACCGGCTGAGTTAGCCGGTGGCCATCACATATATTTAGTTTCCATCTGATTACCCTAGTTCATACCTCCCACTCCAAATAATCTGCCATTTTAATTCCTCTAAGAATTTTAAGGTGTCATTCGAGTGAAGTAAGGTTTAATTTATTTACTCTTTTTTAATAACTAATCCCTCTGGGAAGAGATGAAAAACCTAGGCACTGGTCTGCTCTAGTGAACTCTCTAGTTGAGAGTTCGCTTCTCCTACATGCTATATGACTGAAATGTTATTTGTGTGCTCTTGTGGTTTACATTATATATATTATATTATATTATTATATTATTATATATATACACACACACACACATTACGCACAGGGCCTCGCAACCGAGTGGACAGCACTTGTGAGTCATAGCCCTAAGGGCCCGGGTTCGATTCCCAGCCAAGGCAGAAACAAATGGGCAGCTTCTTTCACCTGATGCCCTGTTCACCTAGCAGTAAATAGGTACCTGGGAGTTAGACAGCTGCTCCGGATGCTTCCTGGGGATGTGCGTGCGTGCGTACACGCGCATGTATTACAGAGAAATATATGTAGGAGACATAATAAAGAAAAAAAAAGGGTGGTTAGAAGGGCAGTTTCCAGGAGCCAATAGCTCAATTCTGTAGGCAAATAGTAAATACAAATACAGTAAATACAGTACTGTATGTTTATACTGTACAGTGACACCTCCAAAATCCAGATCATATCATTCCAAACCCAATCCGGATTTGTGTGAAACCCGGATTTTAAAAAAATTGCTCGTTTATGGCTATTTATTACTCAATTTTCAGGATTTATCTTATAGCAAATAATATAATATTTTTAAGCACAGTCAGACAAACAATATAATGATTTTTGTGTTCCATATATAAATAATAAGGAACAAAACCCATTAAAAATTTCATTGACTGGTCTTGATAATAAGCAGAATACAAGCATAGTACCATGTTGTACCATCTGTTAAACTTCCGCAGTTACCCTGAATTAGTTTTAAAGTCCTCAGTGTCCGTGCTTAATGTCGAACCTTCAACTACAGACTGTAACTGTGCACCACCAACACCCAGCCCCTGGCTACAAGGCTACACAAGTCACTGGTAAACACAATCATCCACATCTTCACGTTTAGAAGGTTTTAATGTTTTAGTGTTACTTTTTCTGTACCACCATTTCTCTTATTTTATTCACAACAATATGATCTGCTTCATTTGCTCCTTTTGTCTGAAATAGTTTTAAAACAGTAGGAAGCACACTCCTCCTTCACGTCTGGGAGAAGGGGGGGAGGATCACGTGTTTCTCTATTTACTTTTACTTCTTATTCATGGTTACCTTACCTTGAGGTTATCTTGAGATGATTTCGGGGCTTTAGTGTCCCCGCGGCCCGGTCCTCGACCAGGCCTCCACCGCCCAGGAAGCAGCCCGTGACAGCTGACTAACACCCAGGTACCTATTTTACTGCTAGGTAACAGGGGCGTAGGGTGAAAGAAACTCTGCCCCTTGTTTCTCGCCGGTGCCTGGGATCGAACCCAGGACCACAGGATCACAAGTCCAGCGTGCTGTCCGCTCGACCGACCGGCTCCCTTAGGGTTACCTTGTAATGGTTTCGGGGCTTAGTGTCCCCCAGACCCAGTCATCAACCAGGCCTTCTCGTTGTTGGACTGATTAACCAGGCTGTTGGACGCGGCTCCTTGCAGCCTCACATATGAGTCACAGCCTGGTTTATCAGGTATCCTTTGGAGGTGTTTATCAAGTTCTCTCTTCTCTCTTATGAGGGGTCAGCCAGTTATGTCCCTCATGTGTAGTGGAAGCGTGTTGAACAGTCTCGGGCCTCTGATGTCGATAGTTCTCTCTCAAGAGTACCTATTGCACTTCTGCTTTTTAATGGGGGTATTCTGCACATCCTGCCATGCGTTCTGGTCTCATGTGGTGACCAGAAGTGTGTATGGTAAGGCCATTCCTCTTACCCCTTGCCTGATATACTGATACTACTCTTGATGCACGACATGACTATCTTCAGAAGAAAAGCCAGTAAAAATACTAGAGTACAGAGAGGTCATACAAGGAAAACCACATGGTCTGTACAGGTACCCCCTCACAAAAGGTCTCGATGCCCCCAGGAAAAAGTCACAAAACTCATTTGTAAAATTTATAGCACAGTATATCTGAGGTATACCTGGGAGTAGGTTCTGGGTGTTCTACTCCCAAAGCACAGCTGGGGCCAGACTTGACTTTTGATAACTAGGTCCAACAGGGTGCTGCTTGCAACGGAGCACAGGCCAATATATCCACAACACCCAACTGGACCAGCATGCTTGCAGCAACATTTCTAAATGTTTCTTGACCACAATCAAATTTACTCCCTTAATATTTCTTATGTTTGTTGGTATGCTACTGAATAGCTGTGGATCTCTTATGTTGACAGTGTTCTGCAATTGTGCCTCATTTCTACTCTCCAATTGTTCTATCCTGTATACTCTACAATACTGGTCATTCCAGCATGTAGTTATTTTACTGTGTAAATTTGGGACCTGCCCTTTCTGTATCTTGCACGTATATATTATATGGTACACCTCATCTTTTTTTTTTTAAAGTACATTGAGAGATTTGAGACAGTTCCAATAACTTGGGTGGTTTATTGTGACTATGCGTGCCGTATGTGTTTTCTGAATTCCCCTTTATTTCAAAAATCGCTCCTGCACTTTGACCCCATGCATCCACCAGCCCGGGTGCACGGGGGAATTATGTAAAACCCTGGTTTGTGTCTCGGAGAGACTGCAGGATCCATATGAGGGTAGATGAACTCTCGATTGCAATTCTTTTACCATGTCATTGCACAGTCGATTAAGGCGTGTCTGGGATCCTCTCGGATGTAGGTTCAAACCCTCATCACGGCCCTTATGGATTTGTTCATTTGATGCATCACGCTACAGTTGTGATTACATAGTATATCACAATAGTAGCATCACGCTACTATTGTGATTTGTGTGTAATCTTCCATATTACATTATATATATTACATATACTGTATACACACAGTATTGCATATATAATGTGACACCTCTCTCGGCTCCTTTCTAGTGAGTACATCTTAAGGACATTTTGAATATTTGCATGAAAAAAAAATGAATAACAAAAATAGGCTAAAAATAAAATTTGATGAAAGTTACTTTTCGTGAAGAACCGTCAACCCGGACTTCACTATATCCCGCCCGGAACCCGGATTTATTTTTTAGAAATCCGAATTTTGGGGGGGAAATCTGGTTGGTGGATTTGGTTCGTTGTTTATAGGGATCCGATATATGTTGGTCCAGATTTTGGAGGAGCCTCTGTAATATAATATATCATATAATATTATATACAATATTATATACATTTTATTTGATGAGTAGAGTTGGGTTACATACTCTGTAGATCTAACATACATACAATACATACGTACAATACATAATTAGAGTACAGTAATTACAATTCAAGAACACTAATGAACTACAAAACGTATTTCACAAACCTTTAATGAATGTAATGAATGTAAAGTATGTATGTATGTATGTATGTATGTATGGTTATTGAATATGACAGATAGGGCTAAAACAAATAAATGATTCCAGCACAAATCTTATCTATATCTTATGTTATTTAGGGAAGGAAGTCTAAAAATGAACTCGAAGTTCGTTTTATAATTTGGCCCAATTCTAAGACTACTTGGGGGGGGGGGGAGTGAGAAGGGTTTGGGATAGGACAGAGGGATGGAACGGCCAACATGGATGGTTGGGGGATTCGACATGTCCAGCAAGATGTGAGACCACTGATCTACTGTTCAGTCCTCTCTGAGCAAGGCAAAGAAGAAGTGGTTACAAGTTAACTGCTTGATACCCGCTTGATGGGGTCCTGGGAGTTCTTCTACTCCCAAAGCCCTGAATATGCTGAAGCTACTGAATATAAAGTCAAGAAAGATGAGGTAAGAGCTGGATAGTCTGCCTTGGTCTTGAATATGGTACCTAAGCTCGCACTTTGGTACATTCTACGATCCTGGAGACCAAGGCAGCATAATCCAGCTCTTAACTAACTTCATCTCGTTCTTGATTACATAAGAACAAGGTAACTGCAGAAGGGCTATTGGCCCATACGAGGCAGCTTCTATCTATAACCCCCCAATCCCACTCATAAACATGTCCAACCCACAAATTGTGGGTTGTATATGTTCATATGATTACTGTACATGTTCAGCAGTTTCAGTTAACTTGTATTCACTTCCTTTCTGGCACTGAAGACAATGACAGGATCCATGAAACATCTAAGTATTAAGCCAAACTGTAAAATAAACGATGAAGAATTCATTTTTTTTTTACTTCCTTTCCTAGTGAAAAACATAAAAAATAAAGATTTGTGCTAGAATCACTGGTCTTACCCTTTGCCATATGCAACGATGTGTCTACAAGAAAGACTGATACCAAAATATACTACTGTATATTTATATTAATTTTTTATAAAAAAAATTCTCAGCAGCTTTGTATGACAATTAGAATGTGAAAAGTACTAAAATGTGCTCACTATGAAAATGTAAATATTTACATCAATATTTTTTTTTAAAGAATAGAAAATATAAATATTGAATTGGAATACAACTACTGTATATATATAATATAAATATATTAGTTCCATATAAACTTTGTAAATATTAAATATTTATATTATACAAATTATGTCACAATTTTATTTTATATTTGTTTTTACATGCACAGTATTTTTCACAACTTTGTACTTATATATAACCATGTTCACTGTCATAGACATTTTCATTATGTACCAATACAGCACAGTATATGTGAAAATAGTGAAGCCGTACAATTTGATCGAACTCGCATCCCAGAACTACTAAGGCACACTATCACTATGGTTCTGTCACTAGTGCATGTGACCAAGGAGTTCAGGGATGCGGGCACAATCTCATTCGGAAGCCTTGATATTTTCTCATAGGCCTCACGTTCGTGATTTCATTGTGCAATGTATTTTATGTACAACTTTCTAAATACCTGTACATACCTTATGCACATCTTCTGGTGTGGGCTTAAATACTCTGATCTTCTTTAGATCTGGCTTTTCCGAGCCGCCTTCATCCTCACTCGTTCTTTTAACCCCCGACGTAACACCATTAACTAACACTTCAGGTATACTTCGCTTTTCTGGTGCCTCCTCCTTTTTATCAAAAGTTTTAGATTTTTTATTTTCTTCATTCTCACTGTCACTAACACTATCATCTTTTGACACTTGACCATTAGTGAGGGCAACAGACGTGGACAATTCTGGAGTAGATACTGAGGCGACTGAATTAACTGTAACTGCTGAAATATCGATTGAGCTAGGCAATATAGGAGATGACGTTCGTGAATTTGAATTTGAGGCAGAGGATAGAGTCGGCAAAAAGTTTTTATTGGTTATGTTAGACACAGTAACTGCAGCAGATAGTGGTGGGGTTGGAGTACGGGAATTCGTGGGCGACATGAATTCTTTCAGAACGCCTGCGGGCACCGATATCATAGGTGCCCCTGGTTCCATAGCCTTCATGGCTGTGGACAGCAAGTCTCAATCTTTACGATTTCCTTCTTGCGAGTGTCAATCTGAAAAGAAATAACATTAAACAGTTAGTATATCAATATAAAATGAGTTAGATCATTAAATGCAAATTTGAATAGTTACAGTATATTAGCACTAAAATCAACTATGTTCATGGATAGTTGATATGAAATGTACTTTTTGCTCTTTGGTTGCATTTAAAACTGCTAAGGATAGGACACATGGTTTTTGTACGAGAAATTACATCAAATATAGTTTTTAAAGATTACCTTTAATTCACACGACAAAAAAGTGAAGAATTTCTTCATAGTAAAGTATATGTTCATATCAGCCAGTCACAAGAAGAAACTTCCTGTCCAACAATGCTCAGGGGATATATTAAAATAATACCAAATGCATTAATATTTCCCAGAGATAAAGTTTTAAAATACCAAGTTATGAAAAGTAAATTGTAAATCCATGTGTTCGAGGTATGGAAGACTGATAATTCACGTGTCCGTGGTATGGAAGACCGAAAATTCACATATCAGTGGTACGGGAGACTGATAATTCATGTGTCCATGGTATATGGAAATGATAATTCATGTTTCTACAGCACTGCGAAACTATAATTTGTGTGTCCGAGGTACGGGACACTGATAATGCATGGTACGGGACACCGATAATTCGCGTGCCCGTGGCACGGGACACCGATAATTCGCGTGCCCGTGGCACGGGACACCGATAATTCGCGTGCCCGTGGCACGGGACACCGATAATTCGCGTGCCCGTGGCACGGGACACCGATAATTCGCGTGCCCGTGGCACGGGACACCGATAATTCGCGTGCCCGTGGCACGGGACACCGATAATTCGCGTGCCCGTGGCACGGGACACCGATAATTCGCGTGCCCGTGGCACGGGACACCGATAATTCGCGTGCCCGTGGCACGGGACACCGATAATTCGCGTGCCCGTGGCACGGGACACCGATAATTCGCGTGCCCGTGGCACGGGACACCGATAATTCGCGTGCCCGTGGCACGGGACACCGATAATTCGCGTGCCCGTGGCACGGGACACCGATAATTCGCGTGCCCGTGGCACGGGACACCGATAATTCGCGTGCCCGTGGCACGGGACACCGATAATTCGCGTGCCCGTGGCACGGGACACCGATAATTCGCGTGCCCGTGGCACGGGACACCGATAATTCGCGTGCCCGTGGCACGGGACACCGATAATTCGCGTGCCCGTGGCACGGGACACCGATAATTCGCGTGCCCGTGGCACGGGACACCGATAATTCGCGTGCCCGTGGCACGGGACACGGATAATTCGCGTGCCCGTGGCACGGGACACCGATAATTCGCGTGCCCGTGGCACGGGACACCGATAATTCGCGTGCCCGTGGCACGGGACACCGATAATTCGCGTGCCCGTGGCACGGGACACCGATAATTCGCGTGCCCGTGGCACGGGACACCGATAATTCGCGTGCCCGTGGCACGGGACACCGATAATTCGCGTGCCCGTGGCACGGGACACCGATAATTCGCGTGCCCGTGGCACGGGACACCGATAATTCGCGTGCCCGTGGCACGGGACACCGATAATTCGCGTGCCCGTGGCACGGGACACCGATAATTCGCGTGCCCGTGGCACGGGACAACGATAATTCGCGTGCCCGTTGTATTGAAGGCCGATAATTCACCTGCCCGTGGTATGGGAGACCGATAATTCACCTGCCCGTGGTATGGGAGACCGATAATTCACCTGCCCGTGGTATGGGAGACCAATAATTTACGTGCCCGTGGTATGGGAGACCAATAATTCACGTGCCCGTGGTATGGGAGGGAGACTGATAATTCACATGTCCATGGCATTTGGGAACGATAATTCACATGTCCATAGTAATGCAAACGGTAATTCCCGTATCCGCAATACGAAACTATAATTCACGTTTCCATGAGATGGGAAAATAATTCACGTTTCCATGAGATGGGAAAATAATTCACGTGTCCATGTCATAGGGAACGGTAATGCAAGTGTTTCATTGCAAAGGGAACGATAATACACGTGTCCATGTCATGGCGAACGGTAATACATGTGTCCATGGCATGGCGAACGGTAATGCATGTGTCCATGGCTTAAGAGAACGGTAATTCATGTGTCCATGGAATGAGGAACGATAATTCACGTGTCCATGGTATGATGGCGAACGATAATTCCCGCGTCGCATCCGATCCCACGATCGTCGCGGTCCCTAAATCAATAACAATTCATGTGCCCATCATAGTATGGCGAACAATAATTCCAACATGCTCACCTTACACAGTAACGACAATAAATGAACCTTAAGTAGTCTGTGCGATAACAATTTATGGACCTACTTCGAGCCTAGTGGGTCGCAATTCATGTGAGATTAACCAGTGGGGTCAATAGGCTAATAGACAAAAATAGCCTATGCCCAGTTAAAAGGTAGAGCACAGGCAATAATGTCATTAGTCGTTGGTACCTGAGGAAACACATGTGGTAGTAAATATACGAGTATAATTTTAGATATACAGGTTTATTTGCAAAGAAGCTCGTAAATGTAATAGTTGTGGCAATAGCAGTAATGCTAATGTAAACAGCAACAAAATGTTTTTAATGCTACTCCATATGTCAATGATCAATCAAATTGCATTAATATATTGTCTATTACACATTACAAAGCCAGTCTGGATTAAGCTACAGCAAATATGAGCAAAACAGACTAGTACCTACTATGAGAACTAGATGGTTCAGTAGCGGAAACATGTGCCCTTAACAAGGAGGCCATTGGTGCCATGTAGACTAGTTGCCTAACCCAAAGATTAAATGCTTAACAGAGATTTTAAACTTGCCAAGTATCGAAAATAATGAATGGTATACAAATTTCCTGCGTGTTAAAGGTAATGTTCCCCCCAGTTCCTAATGCCACGTTGACTATAGTTAAAATAAGATCAGATTTTTTTTAAATCACAATTATTACGGTGTTCTGTAATGTCGATGACTTGCCCAGCGGGTAATATGTATAGTGACATGACTCTCGCTGTTCTCCAAGTATTGCCAGGCGTCCAGCTAATATAACCAGAGAATGGTCACTACTTACACGAGCTGGCAATACCAGTGCGGATAGTACTGTATATCACAATAACCTGCTTCAAAATCAGACGCCCAAAACATCTGAAAATGCTACAACGTTTCGGCCCGTCCTGGACAATTGTCAAGGGCAAGTATCAGGTGTACAATGTGATAGCTTATCTTCACGTGAAGGCCTTATTACTTGTGTAGTGAATATATGTTTATTATTTCAACTCTCCATCTCTTGTGTTGTATGCAGAGTTGAGGGGCTGGCACATGCTGCCTTTCACTGTGTGGCTTTACCTAGCTGTTTGTGGGTATGGAACAGCAGCTCTTGGACCCGTCCTTTAACAATTGGTTGTGTAGTGTAATGACCCCTTACTCTCTTTTGGGTCATATCTACATTTCGAAGCTTTGTATGGGATTTAAATTTAATTAATTTAATTCTGCCCCGAGAGGCGTATTTATTGGGCAGCGCCACTTATCCTGTGAGTGGACACACCGCCATAGCATCATGTACAACACCCTCCAATAGGAAGAAAACCCGATGGGTTGTTCATTTGTAAATTGTGTCCTGACACAGCTGGGGTTAACCCAACTTCCTATTACTAATGAACAAAGTGTAGTGTAGTGTCCTATTACTAAATTTGCCATTATACAATACTTGAACATCGATATTTTGACCCGCGGCAAATATGTTTGGATGCCAACAATCACTAGTTTCTATCGGTATAATACATACATAATTCAATAAATTTAATTCATACTTCAATTCAATAATTCATGCCTTCCATGGTAAGTAAGCTGGGGGACCCATGTCAACAGCTTCCTCAGATCCGACCCATAAGCTGAAACTGGACCACGTTTTATGTAGAGTTGGGATATAATGAATTACCTGGTGCAAGAAGTAGTACGTGAATTATTATTTCACTTCCTCTCCATCCCCCCAACCACTTGGGCTGGACAGCAACGGTCTCGCTTCATGCAGGTCGGCGTTCAATCCCCGACCGTCCAAGTGATTGGCCACCATTCCTTTCCCTCCGTCCCATCCCAAATCCTTATCCTGACCCCTTCCAAGTGCTATATAGTCGTAATGGCTTGGTGCTTTCCCCTGATGGTCTCCCCCCCCCCTCAACTTGAAACAAAATATCCACCAAGGATGTCGAATTTCACGTATGTAAATATATATGATAAATACTTCTGTGACACACATTTTCAGAAAAAAAATCCGTAACATCAAACATTTACAAAGTTGAGAGAAAATATTCCCTTCCGATGTGTGACTTATCCTGTTGGTGTCGCCATTGAAACAACCCGTTTACAACCCTGTTTACAACCCTGTTTACCCCTGCAGTAAAAAGCAACTTTAATGACAATTACAGAAATACTACAATCACTGGCAATAGCACACTTGTATAAACAAACCAATATAGCGTACAAATAATTTAAGCTGTAAATACAACGGTACATAAATAACAACAGTACTATGATGACGTCCAACCCGTAACAACACTTCTCACGTTACAAGCACAATATTTCACAAATATAAATACATAAAAAAATCAGGTCATTTTATGTCTGCCTTACATACATATATATGCATATATACATACCTATATGTGTGTAAATCACGAAAAATAAACACGTGATTAAAAATGTGAGTGTCAGACCACGGAGGAAGAATTGAAACAGGAATTTCCTTAAGTACTTTCGTATATTAATACACCTTCAGAAGGAGTCATCCTACCACCTCCTGAAGATGTATTAATATACGAAAGTGCTTAAGGAAATTCCAGTTTCAAGTCTTCCTCCGTGGTCTGACACTGCCATACCTATATATAAATGTACAAATACATATATACATATCCATACACACACACATACATATACACACGAGGCATAATCGCACCATACAAGTTTGAGGAGTAAAGAGAGGGAGAGAGCGCGAGGTTGGGTGAGTTTCCCCTCCATGTTGCCCGGCGCGCATGCGCCAACACAATCAAAACAAAACAAACAGGTCAACACAATCCGTTTTGACAGTTCCGTCACCCCCCGTTTGTCCCTCTAGCCGCAGACAGACACACCATGTACTCACCCAATCCCCCGTCAACAGGAAATGGTCTGGTATGGCCGGTAAGGAGAGAAAACCCGCCTTAAAACAGAGAGAAGCGCGACATATCCTCCCCGCAGCTGCCCGGCTCCACCACTGGCCTTGTGGGGAATTTGCTGTCACGTGACTCCTCGGCGGCTTCCTATTGGCTGTCACACTACAGGTTGTCTAATGCTGTGCATCAACACATTTTCTGTTGGACATTGATCATCTAGGGGTTTTTTCTATGATAATATTGATTTTTTCAAATGGATTTGTTGCAAATTTTGGCCAAGTTATGGGGAGAAATGTATTGGTGTTGCCAGATATCAATTTGGTGTAAAATTCGTATGTTTGGTATTCAGATGAAATTTTTGAATTTATTCACTCTCTCCTGTATTTTATTATTCACATTTCATAACATTTGATAGAAAAAAATGAGCTGTAATTATATATTTAAAATATAATTATATATGAGCACTGTTGGCAACAGTGTCTGTTAGGGTACATAACTGATTTCAGCCATTACACTGTAATTTACATATTTTTGCATTTCATTAAACTGTTAACATGGAGAACTTATCCCACAGCATAATACTGAGCAAAAAAATAAGACAATAAAGCAATTAAATCAAAATAAGAACCCCGAGTACTAATTGAACATCACGCTATGAGTCGACAATATTCAGTACTAACCTGTAGCCTCTGGTCAATAATGCCTCTACACAAAACAACTATCAATGGGGTATTCACCACTTGGATATATATATATATTATATATATATATATATATATATATATATATATATATATATATATATATATATATATATATATATCTTCATTGATTATACAGACAAAATGTGATTTTAAATCTAAATCGTCTATGGGAGGGTTTTAAAGACAGGATGTTTAATATGGCTGACAGTGGCAGCGCCGGGTTCAGTCTGTGGGAGAAGCGGCACAGATGCTGTGGTGCTCCCACGCCCTCCCTGGGCGTGGGAGAGTGGGGCAGGGGGGGGGGATCTTTAAGTAAAAACTTGTGTGGGCGCGAAAATGGTGTTGCGTGGGCGTAGGACCCAGAGCGAGGCTAGGGTCTGGGCGCGGGACTCTCAGCGAGGCTAGTGCGTCCGGGCGGGGGACTAGGAGTGAGGCTAGCACGTCCGGGCGGGGGCCCCTGAGTGAGGCTAGCACGTCCGGGCGGGGGCCCCTGAGTGAGGCTAGCACGTCCGGGCGGGGGCCCCTGAGTGAGGCTAGCACGTCCGGGCGGGGGCCCCTGAGTGAGGCTAGCACGTCCGGGCGGGGGCCCCTGAGTGAGGCTAGCACGTCCGGGCGGGGGCCCCTGAGTGAGGCTAGCACGTCCGGGCGGGGACCCCTGAATGAGGCTAGCACGTCCGGGCGGGGGCCCCTGAGTGAGGCTAGCACGTCCGGGCGGGGGCCCCTGAGTGAGGCTAGCACGTCCGGGCGGGGGCCCCTGAGTGAGGCTAGCACGTCCGGGCGGGGGCCCCTGAGTGAGGCTAGCACGTCCGGGCGGGGGCCCCTGAGTGAGGCTAGCACGTCCGGGCGGGGGCCCCTGAGTGAGGCTAGCACGTCCGGGCGGGGGCCCCTGAGTGAGGCTAGCACGCTGCAGATTGTGGGGGTCCGAAGCGAGGCTGGCGGGTCGGGACCGGTAACCAGAGTAGCGTGTATGGGCGTGGGAATCAGGACCCGGCTAGCGTGACTAGGCGCGGGAACCACACCCAGGATGGCAGGTCCAGGTGTGGGACCTTGACGGAGGCTAGCGTGGGCGCGGGACCCTGTGCGAGGCTAGCGTGGGCGCGGGACCTTGTAGCAGGCTAGCGTGGGCGCGGGACCTTGTGGCAGGCTAGCGTGGGCGCGGGACCTTGTGGCAGGCTAGCGTGGGCGCGGGACCTTGTGGCAGGCTAGCGTGGGCGCGGGACCTTGTGGGAGGCTAGCGTGGGCGCGGGACCTTGCACAAGGCTAGTAGCGTGGGCGCGGGTCCCTGTTCAAGGCTAGCGTGGGCGCGGGACCCTTGCGAGGCTAGCGTGGGCGCGGGACCTTGCAGCAGGCTAGCGTGGGCGCGGGAACTTGTGGCAGGCTAGCGTGGGCGCGAGTCCCTGTACGAGGCTAGCGTGGCGCGGGACCTTGTGGCAGGCTAGCGTGGGCGCGGGACCTTGCACAAGGCTAGTAGCGTGGACGCGGGTCCCTGTGCGAGGCTAGCGTGGGCGCGGGACCTTGTGGCAGGCTAGCGTGGGCGCGGGTCCCTGTGCGAGGCTAGCGTGGGCGCGGGAACTTGTGGCAGGCTAGCGTGGGCGCGGGACCTTGCACAAGGCTAGTAGCGTGGACGCGGGTCCCTGTGCAAGGCTAGCGTGGGCGCGGGAACTTGTGGCAGGCTAGCGTGGGCGCGGGACCTTGTGGCAGGCTAGCGTGGGCGCGGGACCTTGCACAAGGCTAGTAGCGTGGACGCGGGTCCCTGTGCGAGGCTAGCGTGGGCGCGGGAACTTGTGGCAGGCTAGCGTGGGCGCGAGTCCCTGTGCGAGGCTAGCGTGGGAACTTGTGGCAGGCTAGCGTGGGCGCGGGACCTTGCACAAGGCTAGTAGCGTGGACGCGGGTCCCTGTGCGAGGCTAGCGTGGGCGCGGGAACTTGTGGCAGGCTAGCGTGGGCGCGAGTCCCTGTGCGAGGTTAGCGTGGGCGCGGGACCTTGTAGCAGGCTAGCGTGGGCGCGGGACCTTGTGGCAGGCTAGCGTGGGCGCGGGACCTTGCACAAGGCTAGTAGCGTGGACGCGGGTCCCTGTGCGAGGCTAGCGTGGGCGCGGGACCCTTGCGAGGCTAGCGTGGGCGCGGGACCCTTGCGAGGCTAGCGTGGGCGCGGGACCCTGTGCGAGGCTAGCGTGGGCGCGGGACCTTGTAGCAGGCTATTGTGGGCGCGGGAACTTGTGGCAGGCTAGCGTGGGCGCGAGTCCCTGTGCGAGGCTAGAGTGGGCGCGGGACCCTTGCGAGACTAGCGTGGGCGCGGGACCCTTGCGAGGCTAGCGTGGGCGCGGGACCCTTGCGAGGCTAGCGTGGGCGCAGGACCAACAGTAATCTATGAATGGGAACCCAGAGGTTGGGAGTAGCACTGCCAGATGACACAAGAAATGTGTGTACTCGCCTAATTGTGCTTCCGGGGCTTCGGTTCAGCTCCTTGGTCCCGCCTCTCATCGTTCAGTCAACTGGTGGTCTGGTTACGGAGGCTGTTGGGCTCTGTCCTACCTTGATAAAGATTAAGCCACCCAACAGGTGGCACGGGCATGAATAGCCCGTAAAGTCGTACTTTCATTTAAAACCGTGTATTAAAGTCTGCCACTTCCCAGTCTCCGTGGGCGCCGTGGCTCATCTGGGTCCTCCATATTCCACCGGTGTTCCCTTCCCAGGGAGCCGAGCGGACAGCACGCTGGACTTGTAATCCTGTGGTCCTGGGTTCGATCCCAGGCGCCGGCGAGAAACAATGGGCAGAGTTTCTTTCACCCTATGCCCCTGTTACCTAGCAGTAAAATAGGTACCTGGGTGTTAGTCAGCTGTCACGGGCTGCTTCCTGGGGGTGGAGGCCTGGTCGAGGACCGGGCCGCGGGGACACTAAAGCCCCGAAATCATCTCAAGATAACCTCAAGATAACTTCCCTCCAGGTGTAGGACCTATTTGTGCTTGCTGGCTCCACCTGTCGGCGCATGCGTCCCCCCTTCCCCACGGCTCTTCAACCCTCGCTTGATTTAGTTATATATATCAATTTACAATGGAAATGCTCCATTACTATTGGTTGTCAAGGAACCCGGCCAGGATAGCGCGGGCGTGGGACTCGGGCGAGGCTAGCGCGGGCGTGGGACTCGGCCGAGGCTAGCGCGGGCGTGGGACTCGGCCGAGGCTAGCGCGGGCGTGGGACTCGGCCGAGGCTAGCGAGGGCGTGGGACTCAAAACACTGACGAGGGCATGGGATCGAATAGACTTTAGACTGGCGAGGGCATGGGATCCAATAGACTGGCGAGGGCATGGGATCCAATAGACTGGCGAGGGCATGGGATACAATAGACTGGCGAGGGCATGGGATCCAATAGACTGGCGAGGGCATGGGATCCAATACACTGGCGAGGGCATGGGATCCAATAGACTGGCGAGGGCATGGGTAGACTGGCGAGGGCATGGGATCCAATAGACTGGCGAGGGCATGGGATCCAATAGATTGGCGAGGGCATGGGTAGACTGGCGAGGGCATGGGATCCAATAGACTGGCGAGGGCATGGGATCCAATAGACTGGCGAGGGCATGGGTAGACTGGCGAGGGCATGGGATCCAATAGACTGGCGAGGGCATGGGATCCAATAGACTGGCGAGGGCATGGGATCCAATAGACTGGCGAGGGCATGGGATCCAATAGACTGGCGAGGGCATGGGATCCAATAGACTGGCGAGGGCATGGGATCCAATAGACTGGCGAGGGCATGGGATCCAATAGACTGGCGAGGGCATGGGATCCAATAGACTGGCGAGGGCATGTGTAGACTGGCGAGGGCATGGGATCCAATAGACTGGCGAGGGCATGGGATCCAATAGACTGGCGAGGGCATGGGATCCAATACACTGGCGAGAGAGAGGTAAAGGTCGTAGAATGTAAAAGACCAGTGAGGGCGGAGGGCCTTGGACGAGGCTAGTTGGGGCGTGGGACCCGGGGCGAGGCTAGCAAAGTGAGGGTGAAATTCTTGCCTGGCAACACACCCATAATGCGATTTTTCACTTATATATATAACAATACAGTGTTTATAAGGTGTATTTATCACAAATCAGGATGTATAAGTTGTTAGCTACGATACAAACTATAAATGAAGTAATTGTGATAATTTTATAATTTTGGTCTCTAGCATAGAAAGTTTACATATCGCCCATTTATAAATCATTTTTAAGTATAGTAAATAATATAAATTCGTAAAAATATACGTCGTTAGTGTCTATTAATAATAAGGTTTAAATGCCTATATAAATATAATCTTGAATAATACATTAATTCAATGCTACTAAATGGGCGAGAGACTACTTGGAGCGGTTGGTACTCCTGTCAGCGTGAGAGACCACTGACTCGGTCCGCTCAGTTGCCACTCTTCCTCTCAACCATTTGTAAAAACCATTTTATTCTTCGTCCTATCTTCTCATTTCTTCGAAAATGTCCATGAATAACAATGTCTTGTGTGTTAAACTTACCACATTTTAAACTTAAACATTTAATTTATCAACTTTGAAATTATGACAAAAACCAATGAGTCAATGACCGAAGGAAAAATATTCTGTCATTTATTTTATTATAGAGAAATTGTTGTTTTAAAGAATGTTCGTATTTTGAGACATGCGACAAGTAGGTTTGTGGCATCTGGCAGGTACTGTAGACCCGGCGCTCATCTGAGCACTAACTTAGATAACCATGTCCTCATATTTAAGGCATACTTGTGAAATAATGAACTACATTTCTTCACTAAATATCACACAAATGGAACAAGATTTTATCAACCAAATCTGATCAACATTTTTCATTATTTTTGGAAATATTGGGTGAAATACGTCTGAGAGGAAAATCCATAACTTGGCAATATAGAGCACACACACACACACATCTCCCGTGCCAGGTAAGTAGGATGGGATCACCATAGCCCGTGCTGCTCGACACTTTTGATTCATCGGTTCAGAGTTGCTAAATCTATAACAATTGACAATCTCAAAATAGGTAGACATTTTGGAAGCCGTTTAGAGCCTACGGACTCAGTTCAGGGTAGTCTATTTATAACTCCCCTAGGGGGCCTACCTATAACAGTTGCAGGTGAACAGAAGCAACAGGGGTTAGGCAATGAGCCTAAACCTGAGTATTAATCCAACCACAGGGATTAAACCCGGGATATTTTCACTTGTGAACCGATAATGGATCACTCCTACCGGACCCCTTTTGTTATGGAAATAATTTTTATGTACTAAAATATATATTTTAGCCATATACTATGTATACTATAATATATACTGTCGAGAAAACTAGTTTATATACAAAATTTGCCCATATTTTGTTGGACAAATTATGTGGCAATTGAGAAAATGGGAATACCTGGCAACAGTGTCCAGGAGACCGTTAATGCAATGTTAAATTATGATGTGTAGGCGGACTTTACATCAATATATTGTGCCGGGTGCGTTCCCTACTCTTAAGACTTCTCAGTCCCCCTAACACCATTAATACAGCCTTCTCAGTCCCCCTAACACCATTAATAAAGCCTTCTCAGTCCCCCTAACACCATTAATAAAGCCTTCTCAGTCCCCCTAACACCATTAATAAAGCCTTCTCAGTCCCCCTAACACCATAAATAAAGCCTTCTCAGTCCCCCTAACACCACCAATAAAGCCTTCTCAGTCCCCCTAACACCATAAATAAAGCCTTCTCAACCCCCCTAACACCACCAATAAAGCCTTCTCAGTCCCCCTAACACCACCAATAAAGCCTTCTCAGTCCCCCTAACACCATAAATAAAGCCTTCTCAACCCCCCTAACACCACCAATAAAGCCTTCTCAGTCCCCCTAACACCATAAATAAAGCCTCAGTCCCCCTAACACCATTAATAAAGCCTTCTCAGTCCCCCTAACACCATAAATAAAGCCTTCTCAGTCCCCCTAACACCACCAATAAAGCCTTCACAGCCCCCTAACACTATCATAAATAAAGCCTTCTCAGTCCCCCTAACACCACCAATAAAGCCTTCTCAGTCCCCCTAACACCACCAATAAAGCCTTCTCAGTCCCCCCTAACACCACCAATAAAGCCTTCTCAGCCCCCCTAACACCACCAATAAAGCCTTCTCAGCCCCCCTAACTCCACCAATAAAGACTTCTCAGTCGGAGTAAACATGGAGGAAGTTGTAAGTGTAATTACCTAAGTGTAGTTACAGGATGAGAGCTACGCGCGAGGTGTCCCGTCTTCCCAGCACTCTTTGTCATATAACGCTTTGACACTACTGACGGTCTTGGCCTCCACCACCTTCTCACCTAACTTGTTCCAACCGTCTACCGGCATGGCGTGCCGGAGCCCCTCCATCCTCCCACATGCCTCCCAACTCTTGGCTCTAAACACCATTTTCCACCCGCAAGATAATGTACATTTTAGGGGTTGACAAATGTGAATCTACTTGCTTAGTGAGCTGTTCACGTGAGACTGTTAAACAAGCCCCGGCTGTGTCTGGGTGCAGGTGACAGGATGAACAAGCCCGCGGGGTTTCTTCCTGTTGGGGAGTGTTGTACATGCTGCTATGGCGGTGTGTCCACTCACAGGATGGGTGACGCTGCCCAATACTGTCACTATGGCGGTGTGTCCACTCACAAGATGGGTGACGCTGCCCAATACTGTCACTATGGCAGTGTGTCCACTCACAGGATGAGTGACGCTGCCCAATACTGTCACTATGGCGGTGTGTCCACTCACAAGATGAGTGGTGCTGTCCAATACTGTCACTATGGCGGTGTGTCCACTCACAGGATGAGTGCGCTGCCCAATACTGTCACTATGGCGGTGTGTCCACTCACAGGATGAGTGACGCTGCCCAATACTGTCACTATGGCGGTGTGTCCACTCACAAGATGGGTGACGCTGCCCAATACTGTCACTATGGCGGTGTGTCCACTCACAAGATGAGTGGTGCTGTCCAATACTGTCACTATGGCGGTGTGTCCACTCACAGGATGAGTGACGCTGCCCAATACTGTCACTATGGCGGTGTGTCCACTCACAGGATGAGTGACGCTGCCCAATACTGTCACTATGGCGGTGTGTCCACTCACAGGATGGGTGACGCTGCCCAATACTGTCACTATGGCGGTGTGTCCACTCACAGGATGAGTGACGCTGCCCAATACTGTCACTATGGCGGTGTGTCCACTCACAGGATGAGTGACGCTGCCCAATACTGTCACTATGGCGGTGTGTCCACTCAAAGGATGAGTGACGCTGCCCAATACTGTCACTATGGCGGTGTGTCCACTCACAGGATGAGTGACGCTGCCCAATACTGTCACTATGGCGGTGTGTCCACTCACAGGATGAGTGACGCTGCCCAATACTGTCACTATGGCGGTGTGTCCACTCACAGGATGAGTGACGCTGCCCAATACTGTCACTATGGCGGTGTGTCCACTCACAGGATGAGTGGCGCTGCCCAATACTGTCACTATGGCGGTGTGTCCACTCACAGGATGAGTGACGCTGCCCAATACTGTCACTATGGCGGTGTGTCCACTCACAGGATGAGTGACGCTGCCCAATATTGTCACTATCGCGGTGTCCACTCACAGGATGAGTGGCGCTGCCCAATACTGTCACTATGGCGGTGTGTCCACTCACAGGATGAGTGGCGCTGCCCAATACTGTCACTATGGCGGTGTGTCCACTCACTGGATGAGTGGCGCTGCCCAATACTGTCACTATGGCGGTGTGTCCACTCACAGGATGAGTGACGCTGCCCAATACTGTCACTATGGCGGTGTGTCCACTAACAGGATGAGTGACGCTGCCCAATACTGTCACTCTGGTGGTGTGTCCACTCACAGGATGAGTGGCGCTGCCCAATACTGTCACTATGGCGGTGTGTCCACTCACAGGATGAGTGCCACTGCCCAATACTGTCACTATGGCGGTGTGTCCACTCACAGGATGAGTGGCGCTGCCCAATACTGTCACTATGGTGGTGTGTCCACTCACAGGATGAGTGGCGCTGCCCAATACTGTCACTATGGCGGTGTGTCCACTCACAGGATGAGTGACGCTGCCCAATACTTTCACTATGGCGGTGTGTCCACTCACAGGATGAGTGGCGCTGCCCAATACTGTCACTATGGCGGTGTGTCCACTCACAGGATGAGTGACGCTGCCCAATACTGTCACTATGGCGGTGTGTCCACTCACAGGATGAGTGGCGCTGCCCAATACTGTCACTATGGCGGTGTGTCCACTCACAGGATGAGTGACGCTGCCCAATACTGTCACTATGGCGGTGTGTCCACTAACAGGATGAGTGACGCTGCCCAATACTGTGTCCACTAACAGGATGAGTGGCGCTGCCCAATACTGTCACTATGGCGGTGTGTCCACTCACAGGATGAGTGCCGCTGCCCAATACTGTCACTATGGCGGTGTGTCCACTCACAGGATGAGTGACGCTGCCCAATACTGTCACTATGGCAGTGTGTCCACTCACAGGATGAGTGACGCTGCCCAATACTGTCACTATGGCGGTGTGTCCACTCACAGGATAAGTGACGCTGTCCAATACTGTCACTATGGCGGTGTGTCCACTCACAGGATGAGTGACGCTGCCCAATACTGTCTTTAATAATTGTAAACAAAGCCGCCAAAGATTGAGAAAAGATGGACAGGTTCGTAAGTGCTTGCGTAACTGCTTCGTGAATCTGGCCCCTGGTCCCCAATTACTGCTAAGTGCACTGAAGGAGACGGTGTCCAATCACTTGAACTGGTCAGGATTCAAAGCCTAATCCTG